TTTTGTGCATTTTGTCAGGAAGACAGATGAGGTTTTATAGCAGAATTTTAATTCAAGACCAGAGATACAGATGTAATTGTTCTTAAAGGAAGTCTTATTAGAATCTTGCATAACAGAAAAAACTATTCTTTTTTCAGGATTCTGTTTCATTGGGACAAATTGAAAGCTTTGATGTTTACTTTTAAACATCAAAAACAGGTTTTGATCCAGAAAATGAGGGGATTCCTATTCCTCCTTATCTGATGGTAAAGATAAAGGAATCCCTGCATATTTTACTACGCTAGTCTTTGCCAGCTATAGAGGCAGTGTTCATCTCTGTTTCAAGGGCCATTGCACAGCTTCAGGTTGTGCACCAGTTGTGAACATTCCTGGATCAGGAAATGTCATGGTCAGTCACCTGCCAATGGATTGTTATAACGCTATGTGTTGCTGCCCTTGAAGAATCTGGAAGCATCATCTGGTACAAAATATGGCAGCCCAGAGAGTTACAAGCACACTTAGATCAGTAGACATCATCGGTAGTCTTTGATTACAACTGCTCATTTAGTGACCATTTGAAGTTACAATGGCAGTGAAAAACATGACTTCTGGTCATTTTTCACACTTATAACCATGTCACATGATCAAAATTCAAATGCTTGGCAACCAACTCATATTTATGACAGTTTCAATGTCCTACCTGCCAGCATCATGTCATTATCTTTTGCAACCTTCTAACAAGCAAAGCCAATGGGAAGGCCAGATTCATTTAACAGCTGTGTTACTAACTTTACAACTGCAGTGATTCCTTAACTGTGAGGTCATAAATTGGAGCAAAATTCGCCTACCGACTTTCTCACTTTTGGGTTCAATTGTTGTTGTAAGTCAAAGACTACCTGTACACCTCTGCTCTATGAGCTATATTGTTTACCTGTACACCTCTGCTCTATGAGCTATATATGCTTCCAGGTTCAATTCAAGGTGCTGGTAATGAATTATAAAGCCCTTTATGACATGGAATTGGTTATTTGGGGGACTGGCTCTTTCCAATAACATCTAACCATCCCATCAATTCCAGTAGGAAAGGCATGTTGCTTGTTGTTATCTGACTGGACCCAGGAAAAGAATCTTTTCTATTGCAGCTTGGATTATCTTTACCCAGATTGGTCAGATTGCAGAGCTTCTAGAAGGCTTTGCTATCCGGTCAGTGGATCTGGGAATGTCGATATGAAGCCGATGAATACATATCGAATGTATTAAGAGGGAAATTAAGCACACTCTCTAGAGTTTATGGGGTTTTTTTTAAGGATTTTTAGGTTTTTTAATGGCTTTTGATGTTACTTTTTTTGTTATTTTACTTTTACATGACTGTTTAGAGTCATGTGACCATACAGCTTTACCAAATAACTAAATTTAAATAAAAAAGTATTTGGTTGAAGTATAATAAAATAAATGGAATTCATTCTACTAAATTTATTGAAACTGAATTAAAATTACATTTGGTAGCTATATAAATGGTTCTTTCGTAAGCTGTTTATTTTGGTCTTTGGGTATCCAGACCAAACAAACAAAAAATTCAGAACTGCCAGCTTCCATACACCAATTTAAATTTTTTAAGACTATCATAATATCGATGAGATAGCATCGAAACCTGACAATAGCATTATATTGCTCCTACCAGGGAATAATTTTTTCAAGAGTTTTCCAGTGTTATTGGCATAGGGGCTGTTCTAACTATCTCTATTTTACTGGTTACATGCCAATAAAAGCCACAGTGCCATCATATGTATCATCATCAAAATGACACAGATAATGCAATTTGCATCAAACGTGTCATGACATACATTACATATTTCATGAAATTAGTGTGCTGACACAGATAAGTCCTTTCCCCCTTTTCCCTGTCTGCAGAAGTCCTGAATACTGTATGCAAAATAGTATCAGTGGGATAGGAATGAATGCACAGAGAGTTGGGAGAGAACTGTAATTTTTATGGCTTTTATCTTCCTTTTATTCTCTTCCACACTTTAATATTTTTCCACCTCCATATTCCAAACTCCCTATCGGTCATCAGTCCTGAATACAGCCTTTTAGGATTTAGAGTTCCTGTTTATTCGCAGCTAAAAACACAGATGAGTTTCTTTAGCTGATGTCTTAATTGAACTCTTTAGCATTTGACCCAGTTTCTGCATCAACAACACCACAACTGCAAGTGCACAGGATCACCTATTGCTACAAAAAGGAAATTCTTGATTTTAAAGACACCGTTTCATTCTGGTAAACCCCTTGAATTAGTAGTTAAAAAAAAACTCACACCACTGTTTGACAATTTAATCTAGTCCTATTTTACATGAATCCTTGCACCTAATCACAATGCAGTTGTCACAGAAGAGTATAACATTCATTTTCCTAACCTGACTAGCAGTATGAGTTAAGGATAGACACTGAAAAGTGATATTACTTGCACCCTGCCCTCTGAATAATTTGATTGCATGTTTTTTAAAGATATACAGTCTTGAGATGTGATCGTTTTCTTTTCCCTCAGAAAGAACAAATGGATATTTATCAGTTTCTATAATACATAGGTGAAAAGTTGTAACAAGAAAAAGAAAATAAATATAAAACTATCTTGGACCAATTAATACCAGGATCTGCCAGCGTTTGTAACTGATTATTGTTCAGTCAGTGATGTTCATTTTAAAATTAACATGCTGGCATTGTGATATTGATAGGAACATCTGTATAAGACATAACTAAAAGGCCAGACAAACAAGTATGCTTAACATTAATGAAAAGAAATTGACCCACATCTGGTTGGGCTTAAAGGAAAAATTAAAGTGAAACCAATGTGCTCTGAAAGAATGGGATTCTTACTAAGGTATCAGGATTAGCTTTATTGAAGACAATTGCAGATAATAATTCCTTTACATGGTGCCTTTAATACGTATTGCCTTAAGACAGGGGTGTCAAGCCCGCAGGCCGGATGCATCACACCCACCCTGTTTTAGCAAAGGAGAAAAAACTCACAATACGTCACGTGATGACATGACGCTGCAAGTTTGACACCCCTGCCTTAAGCTCTCAGCATCTCCAACCAACATCTAGAGACCATGGGAGAAGACTGTGGCAAATACTTGTCTTTTTGGCCTTACGTACTGTTGAACTTTTCTGTTTCTACTAAGGCTGTAAAGAAAATATGACAAACTTAAATTGATGTAAAATAGTTTGACTTGTGGTTGTGCTTGTTTTCCTCTTGTACTCTTCCAGGATAGGACCACATTCCTCCATTGCTGATCTGCAAAGGGCATAGTATGAACACAGTTGGGTATTGAAATAAAAAACAGAAAGACTAGTAAAAATAACTGTAGCTTGCTGACATTGTAAAAACATTGACAATGTAAATTTGTGTGGCCCAGTAGTAAAATATTACCATATGGAGATCATTATTTCTTCACACTTGGCACATATAAAACGTCTGACTCTCTCATTACTTTCCTAGCCTCCCTCTTCTTCATCATGGACAAAAAGCTTGATAAAAAATTGTGAGATGTGCCATGTAAGAAACTACTAAGTACTTGGACAATCAAAGTAAAAGTATTTCTTATGGTTAGCAACCTCAATATTGTCTTCATTTGTCAAATTGATGTATAATTGGTTCCGGGAATTTTCCAGTGTAGAAAGGCCTTATTTATTGTATCTGCATATTGAAAATGAGTTCAATCTTTTATTAGGCACAAAATGGATAGTAGTTATTCAATAAATTTTTCAATTAATTTGTGAAATCATTCCTATAAGCTAGCAAGAATAATTTTATAAGCCTGACTCTTGCTTGCTTTAGAGTGAATTTATTTATTCATTTATTGTTTACATATTTATGCTTATATCTTGCTTTATTTCCAGTTTCAAATGGCATTGAAAGTCTGACATCATTAGATGTTGAGTAATTTTTTAAAAAATCTATCTCAGAAATACACATTAACATATTGTCTAAGCAAATTATGGCCACCACCCTCCCACTTAATCCGAATAGTGAAAGACCTTGATTCTGTTGTGTGTTGTTCCCCAGATTTAAAATATAATTACATTTTACTCTTTTCTCATTCACATCCATGTCAGTTCCCAGGAAATTTAATGAGAAAGCTTATAGATCAGACTTGTTTCCAGGATGATTTGTCTATCTTGTAAAGTTGACATGGAGCCTCAAATGATGGATACTGCCCAGATTTTGATTAAAATGTCAGAAGTCCTGTAAGGAGGCCAACATGGTGAACTGAATAATGCATCCTTAACAATATTAATGCTAAAGTTATTTTTCAGGAAAATGAATGTTCATAAGACATAGTATTATGCAATAAACAGAACAGTTTTGTTTTGTTTTTGTAATGAGGAGGTTACAAAAGCTTAAGACAGCGGCTGCTGTAAGGCATTGGTTATCTCATTTAAACAGATATGAAATGTAGGTGCCAGTGGTATGATCATCAGCTGTTTTCTATTTTATGAATAAATTGCTTAGAAGGAGTCATTTGCCCACCAGATGTGACCTAGATTTAGATTTCCAAAGGCAAAAAGTCTATTGTGTAAAAACAAAACAATTGCTGGTAAAATGCATGCTAAATTACCTTATCTCACATTTTCAGGTGTTTAAGCTAATATGTTAAGGAATTAGTGCTTCGTTTATTTTTAAAAATGCAAAATACATTTCAGGAAATTAAATTTGGATAAAAGCTTGCAGTAGTTATTGTTTCAAATAACTACAATAAAGTAGCAAAACAAACTGGGAAGGCAACACGGCTAATATGAAATATAACAAATTGCTTTGTGAAAACAGGGTAGTAAGCTGTTGGCACTAAAATTTATTTTGGCATTAGGAGTAATTACATTTTCTATAAACAACAGCAGGCCCTAGAAATAAAAGTTTTTATGTCTGCCAGCCATGATAACTTTTCTTCTTATGATAACAAACTAATAAGCAAAGTATTCAATGTCTTATTTTCTTTTCTCTTTTCAAATATTGATTTTAGGTGCTGCCACTAGGAAACCAGATCCTGAACAAGAGAAGCAAACAGATCATACTGTTAAAATTGCTGGCATCATTGCAGGAATCTTGCTGTTTGTCATTATATTTCTTGGAGTTGTATTAGTTATGAAGAAAAGGTGAGTAGTTAATGCAGTCTATTTTGCTAAATTGTTGTATTTTATTTTGCCCAGTAAACATACTTCCCTTAGCCTATAATGTGTCTGGGGTACAATTGTGTGAGCATGCAGATAAATCTCTTGTATATTCTTAAATAAAACTTATCCAGACTTTTTGGCCAACCCCTTTTATGGATGATTTTAAAAAATGCTATTTTTTACACCTAAAGTTTGAAAGTGTTGAATGAAATTCTGAGAACTCACATTTTTCTTTGATAGTATTGTAAACAAATTAATGTTAGAATGCTTATGTTAAAATAACCCAACTTTAATAAGTATATCAGAATATACCGTATAATCAGCCCAGATGACAATATTATGTTTATCAGTATCTCTGCTGTAACCTGAAGGTAAGGCAAATATTTAATTTCATATAGAAATCTTGCAAAATTGCTTGGTAAAATGGGCAATAGGTTTCACAAGCAATTATATAGAGAGTAAGCAAAAGCTTTGGTTTTATTTTACTACTTGCAGAGAAATCCAATGGATGTTATAAAATAGTTCTTCCCAGATGGACAATTCCTTCAACATACAAAAGAAAATCTTTAAATTCAATCCAATTAAAGGACAGGTGTGAATTTGCTATTTGATTTTCCTTCAAAATTCATATTTTTCTATCCACAGGGGAAAAATAAAATTGTACAATAGAGATAACAGAGATAACTTGGGGTAGATTTAGCAAGTATTGTAAGAACGGGGGGGGGCTCTACTCTTGATAACTAATTAATATGACTAGCATTGTGGAAATATGAGGCTTTGGTACTTTTGAATAACATCAAGAAGTAATGTAAAGACATAGTTTAAAGGCACTATTTAAAAAGACATTATTTAAGGCAGCGTAAAAAATGAACGTTGTATACTTCATTAGGTAAACTTTGAAAGCAATATCTTTATAGTAATTTAGAGTATGTTTAGGTTTTTTAAAATTTTATTATTACGTTTTTTTAAAAAACACAAATATACAAAAAACCTTACTGAAAATACCAAAACAATTATACAAAAAAATAAAATATAAGAACATAATTAATAAAAAGAAAAAGCAAGATAGAAAAAAGGAAAAAATATGAAATATCTAGACATGTCACCTACATATGAAGTATTTAACAATATAGAAATATCTCAAATTAGAAAGAAACAAATGTTGCCAAATATCATGAAATCTGTGAAATACACTGTATCATTTTTATTAGGCTATTATAGATTATATTTAGGTGTATTAATTAGTAAAACGATTGATGGGATTTGTACATTGAAAAATTTTTCAGTGGTTGTCTTTAGAATGTTCCTAAATACATATTATTTAAACAGTATAGACTTTGGAGAGTTCAAGCCATGATCTGTCAGTTTAGCAAGCTTTCATGTAGATCACGGGTGTCAAACTCTCAATGTCATGTTGCCATCACGTGACATATCGTGACATTTTATTCCTTTGCAGAGCTGGGGTGGGTGTGGCCTGCGCATGGCGCATCAGGGCCGCGGGCCGCCAGTTTGACACCCCTGATGTAGATGTATATTAGATCACTCCATTCAGGTAACACAGGGGATTTATAAAGGAATTGAAAATAAATTAATGATAAAAGTAGGTGAACATCTGTGATAAAACCTCAGGTATTATCTTTGGATCTTAGATGAGTTTTGCATCTTCATTCATAAAAATAAATAAAAATGTTTTTGACATAGTTTGATTCCTTTGAAGAAATAAGCATAACCGTTATGAAATGGCATTTTAGACTAAAAAAGACAATGCTGTAAGAAGGAAAAATCTAAATTACATATATAGACCAAGAACTTTTGATTATGTTTATTTTGATACAACAGAGCTTATCCAAAGTAATAATTTATCCATTTCCAGAAAGTATGTTGAACTAATTGGTCAACCTAAAGAAATAATAAAGTTTATTAAGGTTCTTCTTCCAAATGACAGCGCATACATACTTTTATTAATTACAAACCAGAATTCCACAGGAAATATTTCTAAAGGATTACAGAACTGAAGTATGCAAGTATGGTTCACATAAAAAAGGAAGCTGAAAATCTATTGGCTATATCAATAATTTTCATTCAGACCTAACAAATACTAGGTAACTCCCTGTCTCTTCATTCCTTTATATAATACAAATAGTATGCAGGTAGTTTTTTACATATATTTTTTTTATTTTTCATTTCTGATCCTATTCTTTTTTATGTTATTTTTACCTTTATGTATTGGAAGTACCATGTGAGTAGTATTGATAGATGGGATTATTATTATTATTATTTCTATATCTGTAGGTTTTCTGGCTGTTATATCATCATAATTACATATATTGTTTAGAAATATATGATAATTCTATAATAATTTTAGCAAGTATTTGGGTGACGGATAGATTATGAATATGCTTATGGGACATCAAATTCTGTTTGATCTATCATAATAGTTTAAACTATAACATAAAATAGCAGGGCTAGTGAAGCAATATTTCTATTATTGTTTAGCTTCCTTTTTCATATCATAGATGAACGTCACCTTTAGTTAAATTAAAGGTGTCATAGTAGCTATGGGATATCAGTACCTGATATTTAATTTATTTAAACAATAAAAAGACATAAACTTTAAAGTATAAAAGGATTCTATTACTAGATTGTTGATAGTAGCAGAGCTGACCCACCCTGAACAACAGAATTGATAACAGAATTAGAGCTTTGAAGTATATTTAACATGACACCACTGGGTGAAATCCTCAGCACCATGGGATGAGGTAGCATCAATATACCCTTTATGGCATGGGTTCAGGGTATCTGAGGAACCCCCCTTATCCTGATGGACTAACCTACCCAACTCATTCCAGAAGAAAGGACTCACTTCGTATCCCATTGGCCAAAGAAGGGGGCCTACTACTCTGGGGATGGCTGATGGGGTAGAGAAGATTTTCACCCCCAAGCTGCCCATCATCTTGGTTGTTAAACTTTTTATTCTAACTTTAATTGTTTTTAGCACTTTTTAACTTTTTATTATATTGGAAGCCACCTAGAGTTGCTGTATGTAATAAAGGACTCCAAACACAGATGATGGTTAGAACCTTGTTTATCGGTAATACTGACATCCATAAGCAAAGAAAGTAGAATATTGTTGGAGCTATTACTCCGTGATCCCCATCACCTTATAAAGCCTTGAAACTCAGTTAACCCATTAATCCAGCCCCACCCACTCATTAAACACAGAGACCAGCCCTGCTCCCAGCAGACCAGCCACACACCCTCAGCCAATCAGTTCGGCCACACCTCGATCTGCGTACTCAGGGTCCTTGCTCCTCATGTGCAGGCAAGCAACAGCTAGACCGTCAGCTGCCCACATCCTCTCTCCGGCTCCCAGTTTGTTCCATAACAGCTATGGGCACCTCCAGCTGCCAAGTCTGACCTGAGACGCCTGCCACTCCCCCATGCTTGCCATGGCAAGGGTGCCTTGTTGAATGTCCAAGTAGGCCGCTGCGCACCTGATGATGTCATCTGGAGGCGTCCACTTCCCATACAGGCACGCCAAAGCCAGAGTGCCTCTCAGCTGCTCACGGAGGCGTCAGCAGGCCCCGAACATGCAGGCTGGGTTGAAGAAGCAGCAGCAGGCCCGGGAGCAAGGTGGATATGTCAGGGAAGTGGGCCTTCGTGCCCCACTGTAGTGGCAGCTCCGAATCACTGGCCACGCCGGGGCTGACAGCTGTATTAGTGAGATGGATGGCATAGAATATAACAAATAAATAAAAATAATCTTACCGACTTCTGTATATAGTAAGATAGCAATCTATTTACTAAATTCCTTTTGTTGCCGACGTTCAGGTTTCTTAGCTGCTTATAAATTACATAAAAACAGCAATATTAAGTAGAAAATCAGCCAAGTCTCACTAAGTTTATTATAAAGCTTATCTTTGTCAACAACCATGAAACTATTGTCTACTTTTAATAGTCGTAAAAGCTCCTTACGGCATTATTTTAATACAGTAAGAACCACTGGGGTATATGACTGTCCTGTGTAATATAGCAACATCAGATAAAAGCACCACATAAAAGGGGCTTTCAGTAGAACTTTTTCTTCCAGTTATCTAGAGCTACCATAGTATGAGAAGAATCTGAGGAACAGGCTTTTCTCATGTCATCTGACATTTATTCTTTTAAATCCATGATGGCGAACCTCTGGCACGCATGCCAGAAGTGGCATGCAGAGCCTTCTCTGTGGGCACGCGTGCCGTTGCCAGCTGCTTTTTTAGTTTCTGGCACACAAATGCGCGCCAGCCAGCTAGTCTTCGGGTTTCCGGTACTCCGGTGCCCACACACACATGCACATGCATACGCACACATTCCGGTTTGGCACTTGGTGCCAAAAAGGTTTGCCATCACTGTTTTAGATAATTGAATGAACTTTGCTGGTATGAGATAAAATAGAAAAGTAAACACATGTTCCCTTAATTGTAAAGTCATGTTTTATTTTTCCCATTGATTTATATAGAAGCTACAAGAAACTTTTTTTGTGTTTAAAAAAATTTTTTTTTAGTCTGTCCTGATTCTTTGATGATTCAGTTTCATTGGGTGGCCTCTGGTTCTAGTAATTTTGGAAATGGAAAATAGCTTCAGCTTGTTGACTTTAATCTACCATGCATAATTTTGCACACCTCAGTCTCTCTTATTTGCCGCCTTTCTAGACAAAAACCTCAAATGTCGCAACTTTTCCTCATAGAAAGCAGTTCCAGTTTCCTGATCATACAGTATTTTGATTTATGTATTCATCAATATTGATTTATATGTTGATAAATATTAGCATTTCTATTTTTAATACTGTTCCTTGTTATCCTTATTATCATGTTGGCCTTTTTTACGTCAGATGCACACTGTGTTGCAACTTCCATTGAACTGTCTATGTTCATTTCAAGCTCTCTTTCTTCATCAGTCAGTGAGTTCTCATCCCATTAAGTTTTATGAATAGTTAGATTTTGCCAATTCACCATAACATCCACATTTTGTTATGTTTTAATTGTTGTTAATTTGATGTTTATATTTTTTTTCTTCATGTGTGAAGTACACACATGTTAGAACCAAAGACTCCTATAGATGAGTCTCCACAACTTGTGATTAATACTTTGTTGGAACCAGGCCATACCATTCTTTAAGTAAATAAAATAATCACGCTTGTAATCTGTAAATAAGTGAGTGCAGGTAAGCACCGGAAACTGGAAGAGCAGTTTCCCAGCATGCATGTGCACACCGGGAAGCTGAGCTTTTTGTTTCCAGCATGTGCATGCGCGCCGGTCACCTGGTCTTCCGGTTTCTAGCATACATGCACGCAGCAAGACCAGCTGGCTGGCGCACATGCACGCACCAAAAACCTCAGCTTCTCGGCACGTACATGTGCGCCAGGGAGCTGCTCTTCTGGTTTCCAGCACTCCTGCACTCAGAAAGACCAGCTGGCTGGTGCGCATGTATGCACCGGAACCTGGAAGAGCAACAGATGACAGCTGGCGTGCCCGGAGAGATGGCTCTGTGTGCCACTTCCAGCACGCGTGCCATAGGTTCGCCATCACGGGCCTATAACATCTTAGAAATTTCCAATTTCTTTAGAAAAAGTTTGTGCTCCACCAGATTAGATGCCACCTGCTTTAAAACAGTTCGTCTGACATGAACAGTGGAATTTGACTTTTTTAAAAAGAAAAGTATCCCCATGATACATAGCAGGACATAACCAAACTGAAATTTCAAATCAGCAAATACTACAGAAAGCTGTAAATTTAGTAAATTTGTATGGATTATGCAATCCCAACGCCTTATTTCATCAATCTTTTGATAGGAAGAACAATTCAAATTTGTATCAAAAGCTTGTTAATATGGCATGATGCCATTTCACCAACTGCCTCTATCTAAACCCCAAATTGGATCATTATTGCAAATAAGTAAGGGTAGGGCAGGAAAAGGGTTTATACAAATGATACTTAAGTCTCTGTTTTCAGATCAGAAAGCAATAAAAGAATATTGCCAAACAACACTAACAGAAAACAAAGTAGGGAAAATAGAGAAAGATGAAAAGATTGTTTTTCTTCTACTACTATGGAGTCAATAGAGCAAGCCTTTACAATATTTGGCTCACCAAGCAGACTTGTGTTGCCCACCAATATTTTTCAAAAAGTAGATAAATTTGCTGCTCTTTTCTCAAAGGGTCCACTGCCAGCACTTTCAACATCTCCAAACCTCACCACCTCTATCATCTCCATACAGCTGATTGGTATGCCAAGTATTCCTTTGCATCCTGCAGTGATTTTTAATTTAACAATGGGGCCATTTTCTCCCTACAAGTTTCTGGAACATTTCAAAGTTGGAATATTTTAGAGAGGCATAGGATTCTCTTGCCTGCGGCATGATGTAAGTCTTGCTAAAATTAAGTAGAGGTAGTCCACAATTTATGACCACAATTGAGCCCAAAATTTCTCTGGCTAAGTGAGAAGTTGTTAAGTGAATTTTCCCCATTTCATGACCTTTCTTGCCACAGTTGTTAAGGGAATCACTGCAGTTGCTAAGTTAGTAACATGGTTGTTAAGTGAAACTGACTTCCCCAATTACCTTGCTTGACAGAAGGTTGCAAAATGTGATCATTTGACTGCAACCGTCATAAATATGAGTTAGTTGCCAACTGTATGAATTTTATCACATGACCATGGAAATGCTTCAACGGTCGTAAGTGTGAAAAATGGTTATAAGTCACTTTTTTCAGTGCGTTGTAACTTCGAATTGTCACTAAACAAACTGTTGTAAGTTCAGGACTACCTGTAGTTAGGTAGCAATAAGAGGAACAGTATTTTTTTCTATATGTTTTAGTCTGTAGTTTGACATCTGTGAAGTATTCATTTCCATAAAAATTTCATCATTTCTTAAAATAAGGGTAGAGGAGTTATGTCAACGTTCAGTTTTCTGATATCAAGTGGTAGTGTAAAACATTTCCTGAAATTAAAGCAGCTGATTTCTCAATCATTTCAATGCAGAATAATAAATCTCAATATAATTTTGGAAGAATTTTTTATCCAAACACTTATATATTAATTATATTTATTGCTGAAATAATTTGTATGGTATGATAGCACTAATAAATGTACATTCCTGTTTCTATAATAAATTTTTGAGAATGCTGTGTCTTGGAAGTCTAAAAAGAAAAGAAAAATGTAATTATCTTCAAGAATTTAGATTATCAATATTTCTATCATACACAGCAGCATGTACAAAGGAGTTGTTTTGTATGCAGTTCAAAAATATAATAAATATATAATAACAACTTTCACTTTGAAAAGCATATTACATCCTCCCCTTTAAGTAGAATGTTAACATTTGTGCATTTAACAACTACACACGGGTAAATGTTAAGAAAGTAACTTCTTGGGCATAAACAATACTGAAAAATAAGAATGTAAAATCAGGAAACATTTCTATATGCAAAGTTATGAGTGATAAACCCTTTTTCAATGGGACGCCTAAAACATTATCTGTAATCTTTTGTCAGGCCTATTTATGGTGAACTATGGATTGTTTTGTTTTATTTTACAAGTCAGTAAAACACTGTGCTTGTTTATTATAAGCACAGTATATTATTTTACTGACTATTGTATATTTCCTTGCAGCTGTCCTTGCAGCTAGTTAAAATTATTAATTGTACCGTACTTAGTTTTTAGAAATATTTCTATCTGAAACATTTCTACTGCTCTTTGAAGAATCAATAGTGCATAGCCTCGTTTTTGTTTCTATTCTTATTAGCTGTTTTGGTCTAAATAGAGCTGTGTTGTCTTTTTTAAAAGCCCTCATAGGTTGAATAAGTGCTATAGCTCCAGACCTACCAAGGCTGACACCTGCCATTGGCCTTGATTGCCCCATCACATCTTTCTGCTTTTTAGTATTGGCCAATACCTGTAAGCTACTCAACATTTAATATTTTCTGTAATATCTAAGGAATTATGGGTAATGAAAATGGCTGACTGTAGCCATTCACATTTACCACGGTGTTGATAAAGTTGTTATCACTGCTCATATAGCAACACTGAAGAAAACCTATGCTTGAAAAAATATGTTATTGGAACTTTGGAAGGAACTACAGAAATGACAAGTACTTTAAACAAAGCAACAAGCATTTATTAAGGGGGGGAAGATCAAGTCTTTTTTTATGAGGTATAGAAACAAACAAACATACATTTGGTATATGTGATGCACCAGAAAGCAAGAAATCATGCAATACAAAACATTAATTAGACTTGAGAATTAAATGATAGAGACATTAATCCTTAATAACATTCCATAAACAGCAAATTTATGGGTTATGTCCCTTTCCAAACTCAGTTTCTATCATTCGTAAAATTATCAATTTAAGAACTTTCAAATTTACTCCCTAATTCAGCCTTTTGCTGAAAAGGATAGTTGTTACATATCAAAAGAAGAAATGACTTTAGTTAAAAGGAAAATATGGTTTTCTGAACTTCAAAATAAGACATGGATGTCACGCTAAAATGTTAATAATCATCTTTATTAAAAAAACTAATAAGCCTAAAATTTGAGAAACAGATAATCTTTTTTTAAAATGCAGATTTAGAAAGAGCTGGCAAAATAAAAACATCTTTTCTCTTTTTTCCAAATGTCTTAATTATGATGTTTTTAAAATGTCTACTGTTATTTCTCCTGGAAATATTATAATATGAATTATATGTGTGTCTCTGTATTTATGTCTTATATGCACGTGAAAGACATATAATTGTTATTGATGGCTACTAAAAAAAATCTCTGTGATTAATTTACTGCTAAAGCTATTGTGAAGAGTGAATATATCATCTGTCTTTTCCAGATGTGGTGCATGGTATGAGATGCATTCTTGCTATCTTTTCATTTGTTTCTCCAGTTCTAGCTTCATCTCGATTTTTTCATACATTAATATTTGGCTTTTCTTTCCTTCCATTTCATCTTTTCCTACACTGCCTAAAATCCTTCCACCATCATGGCAGAAGAAGCTATCACTCCTACACTTATTACCTGTAAGTAACTTACTTGTGCATCATCAGAGTCATGCTTTCTGCCATGTTGTCCTGTGCATGAATAGTATATTCTAATAATTCCCGTTCTCTTGTGAAACTCGAAACACTTTTCAACTTTGCTTGGAACAAAACATTTACATGTCATTGCAATGAAATCAATTTTCCTTTACGTTCCTTTGCCACATACTGTATGTTAAGTATTGTATTTTTTCCATTTAACACTGTTAGAGAAAATACAATTACTAAAAGGTACTCTTAGAAATAAGACTCAATATTTTTAATTAAAATATTTGCACCAGTAGTTCCAAACCTATTTAGAATGAGAACCCAAGTGGGGGATGGGATGGAATGTTCTCTACTTTTTTGTCCTTACTAAAAAAATGGAATAATTTGTAGTACACCTACTATATTTTTAATCTTGTTCATAACAACTACAGTATTGCTGGAATACTGTTGGATCATATAACATCAGGCAGCCTTCTCCAATGTAGTGTCTTTTTATAGTTTGGATTTCAAATTCCATAATCATTGCCATGTGAAATAATAATTATCTTCCTGAAGTTCAGTATGTTTTAAAGAAACCAAGGTGGGCAAGGCTTACAAAAGTGATTATCATTTTGATAAATAAGATAACACAAAACAGGAAAGGCTGCATCTTGGAATTTTTCAAAACTTTTACAGGATTTTGTTTACAAATGTTTCCTTGAGATTTAAATTCTCAAGGATTGTTTATATGATATGATGAAATAGTGGAAAAATGGAAAAGGACCAGAGAGCCCAGGTTCAAGCTTACCTTGAACACATAAGTTTAGTTTTCTCAATAGATTGTTGTTGCAATTTTTTTTAAAAAAGGAAGTAATGCTATCTTGAGCTTCAGAGTATTTTTTACAGCTGTAAAATATTCTGTGTATTTGGTTGAACATAGAAATAGAAATTGAACAGATAAATAAATGATCTTTGGTTCTTAGATATTAGACATATATACAACTATGAAAATCTGAATTTTATGTAAGAAATTGTAAGTAATGTTCTTATAAGAACATTAAAATAATTTTACAATTTTCAACCAATCTTAAATGAGAAAAAATAGTTTATATATTTTTAACTATAACATATTCCATTATTTAATGGCATGTTTTTATCATAATATTTGCATGTGTTTAAGTCTTCATGTTATAAACTGGCACTTACAGTGTTCATATTTATGAGAGCACAAAATAATTCCTGTGTATGAACTAATTTATGCAGTGAATTGAGAGTTAACCTTACATGGAATTGTCTTGTTCTGGCTTACCGAAGTATCTCTAAATTATGGAGTAGAAATTCAAGAATGATTTCAGTGTAAATGATGTATTTGTTTATCCGTTGTATTTTCTGTGGAGAAATAATGGGTGCAATTTAAAAAGCTATGGAAAAGGACAGTAGTTTAATAATGAATTGAACTGTTAGTTTTCAGTATGATTTAATGAAATATTGATCCATTCCAAGCACACAACTATGAGGAATGAGGTAAATACACACAAATCAGTATGTAGCTAAAGGAAAGCAACAGATAAAAAAAAAACAACTTTGAAAGTCTTGTTCATGAGCTTTAATCATTTAGTCAGATTTGATCTGAGATATGATTTGTCAAAATTGCTTCTTATTTCCCATTAAGTAATCAGACTTTGTTTGAAATGTTTCTTTATCATTCTTATCTCCCATTATATTTTTCCTGCCTTTATATCATGGAAATGAAACAGTCCTATTTCAAAATTAAAGTTTGTACTCAAGAGGAAACCAAATGGGATCAAATTGTGTTTACTTTAGAAGAAAGACAATGTACTAATTTCCTGTAGTAAGGAAGAAACCATAAACTCAGGATTAAAACCGGTTAGGCACAGATAAATGTGGAGAGGGTACATTCCAGTATCAAGCCTGGGAAAAGAATAGGAAAAAATCCATTGAGGGTCAAAAAGTTTTGGGGGGTGGAGAAGAAAAAGGAAAAAAGCTTAAGATTTTAAACGTTGAAATGAAGTATTTCTCCGACCCAAATACATGAGGTCTTGATTTCTGTCTTCTGCAGATACAGAAATCTTTTTTTTCTACAATAAAACAGTTTATGTAGAAGTGCTGAGTCCTTGACATTGTTATCTGGTTTCTAAATGAGGTCAACCCTTTGAGATAGACCAAATCAGGAAACAGACACCATAAGAAATACTAGAATTCTACTTTATTGATATAGGCTACAGTAACAGACTTTTGAAAGTTTGACAGACTTTTATTTCCCTCCCTCTTATACCAAAGAAAATCAAGGCAGGGCAATTTAAATTTCTTTCTCACACTTTACTGCTTTCCAGGGCTCAATCTATGTTTTATTAAGAGTTGCTGCATATTTTCTTCTGCACTCCACTACATATGCAGGGCTTTATTTCTGGAAGAGTATAAATGTATAGCCATTCTTGATCTGAAGCTTGAGCGCAAGATTTGCCTGTTATACTCCCAACAGAGCCCATGATCTGACCCAGAGAATATGTAAATTGTCTCAAGAATCAGTTGTACATATCAGGGCCTCATATAAATGCTATTCTGTCATTGTCAAGAAATTCCTCTCATTACTGGCATATGCTGGCTTTCTACCAGGTTTCCTCCTTTCATGCTACTACCTAAAAAACTAGGTTCCCTATTTATTGAAATGTTTCCCATTTTTACACAAATTAATCATGCTGCCTTTTGCCTACAGCTTTCAGCTACACTGAAAACGCATCCAGTTTTCCATTGATTCACCAGATTCCCCTTGTTCAAGGCACACATCTGCACCATTACCACCTTAGCTAGATCAGGAGAAGGGGGGGGGATGAGATGCAGTGTATTTTAGATTCCCAGCAAATATTTAATATACTGAAAGCTCATGCGAAGCAGCAAATGATGGAAATAATCATACCCTCATTCAACAATTTCTTTTTAACACAGCCCAAACCACCTCATTGGCCACATAATCTGCAGCAAGCCCAGTAGGACAAGGAAATTAGAAGTTAGAGATGCAGCCAGATAAAACCATTGCATAAACATAGAGAAATCTCAACGGCAGGAAAAAGCCCAAAGCTCATGTACTCAGGAGAAAAGAGTTTAAGATTTAAAGCCTGAGGTAGACAATAAATATGTCTCATGTAGCTGTTCTATGCATATGCTTATCTCTTGTCTATGGTAAAACAGCTTCTCTAGAATTATTATGTTGTTGAAGTTTCTGCTTTTATGCAGTTCCTAAATGCAGAGTTGAGTTTCTGAAAGAATAAAAGTTTTTATCCATGCCTGCTCTTAATTCAAACAAAAAGTGCCTTTTACAGGAGAATTGAGGGAAACAGTTAATTGCTTTATCCTCCTGATATTGAAGGGATCTGAAATCCAATCCCGTCGCTGATTAATCTAGTTACATTACAGGGATGAGGAGAAAATTATTCTTCCATATCCGTATAATCCTTTGCAAGCCCTCACAATTGGCTTGCCAAGGATTGAGAATGCTCCAGAAAATACTGGAGGATTGCTAAGAAATATGGAATGTAGAAAATTGCATGAGAAAGTTCTGATTGCGTGCACTGACTCCCACGTTACTAGTTTTCATCCTATGGATATATGTTAAATTTAGTAGAGGATCTTTTGCTGAAATGAAGATAGCAATCACTAGATGTGCACAAAAAAGAAAATATGTTCTATTTTGTTCTCGGAACAAAATGACACAATAGCATAATCCCTGTTATAAATGTTTTATGAGCTGGATAATCTTCAAATAGGCTTTCCAATTTTTGTCTGAATAAAATTCAAAGCATTTTATGTGTCCAACCCATAAAAAAAAAAAAACCTATGAGAAATCATGGCCAGTTGCTTTTTTTATACAGTGTCAGTCAACATGTCTGTTGCATTCAGAGCTATTAGACTCAGGTTTGAGTGCAACAGCTGTTCAAACAAGAATTTCATATTATTGAAGAGGCCTGGGAGAGAGGGAAGGTTGGTTGATGGGAATATCCCATTAATGTCTCAAATCACCTGAGTTCTATCATGCAGGTGTTTCATAATAATCCCTGTACATAGAATATTTTTTTTTTAAAAAAAATATTACAATTTTATATTGTAAATATTTGCTGCTTACTTTCACAGGATCAATGGCAAACAAAATTTATTTCATTATCAAGAATATTGTTTTATTCTTACCAACTTTGATGCCAAACCACCATCATTATTCATTGATACAAAAAGAACTGCCAATTAGATTTTACAAAACTTGTTCTGTTCTGCCACTCTCTGTGGTATTCTTCAGGGATAAAGCTCAAACTGCTTATTCCTCATATGTAATATTTCATATATATGCTGAAGAAGAGCTAAAGAAACTTCTTGGATGAGAAGCAAAACATCTTCAAAGAAAAACCAGAAAGTCCAGTTGTCTCTTGAAAAAGCACCTTTGGGACAGTTTATAGTATAATTAAGTCAGATTCAACCAATGCAAATATGGTATCAGAAGTTTGAGTAGATTAGTTTTATTATGCTATATTACAGATAAATTAATAGGCATTATTACTGACCTTTGAGCTATAGGCAAAAATATGTATCAAGTATATTAAATCCTCAACTTTAAAATATGATCAAATAGAATAAATATTTAATTCAGTGATCTATGTTTAATCAGTTATCAGATCTACTTATATTTTGTTTTAGATGTATCTTAGTGTAAGATAAATTAGAATATATATTTTGAAATAACTTCAAAGTTGTTTCAAATCTGATAATGTGTTTAAATAATTTATTAAATTGATAAAGTAAATGTCTTAAACCGATTATTCTAATCCAAAGAAAACAAAATATAACGTTTACAGTAAATACTTCAAATGTAGGAGTTTCTAGCTTGCACAGAATAAGTATCTTGGATATTTCTAAATATGTAAATACAATACAAATCACACAATGCATATAATATGGCTATCTAGCATGATTCAGAACAGTTTACCACTCTAAATAGGGGTGATAAA